CTTGCCATGCAGCTGGCCTGCCAAGTGAGTCAGTGGGCGGGCGGCTGGGCGGGGAGGGGAGGGGCGGGTGGCCGCACGTATTGCGCTTGTACAGTCTGTCTGTGTGCATCGGTAGCTGGATGGATGGATGGATGGTCCGCATGTGTTGACACTTCTGTCGGCTGTTTTGCTCATAACCAAGCTGATGGTGTGTGGGGCCTGAATCGTTCTTCCCCGCTGCCCCTTCTTGTCTCGGCCTTTCCCCGGCGGCCGACCACCGGCAACACAGCCACCAGGTCGGTTGAGTGACGGCCGAGGCTATTTTGTGTCTGGCTGGCTGTTCTGATTGCTGTCCCTGCTGTGAAGTCCTTCCTCCGACTGACCAGCAGTTTGTGGATGTGAGTCGAGATGTGTGTGATTTATATGCGTGTGTGTTCAAGAGGCCCTTTCCATTAGTTCGGCGCCTGACAATCTGTCAACAGACGAATGGGATTGGTGTGTGTGTCGCGTGTTGGTGAATATGTGTGTGGGGAGAGAACCTTCATTGTATCCCGTTGTATTAGAAAATCCGTCACTGACACGACACCCCCACACACATGAATTCTGTCAGCCCACTGAAGGACGCCACGACCCACTCCGCCCCATCACGCACGCACACACACCGTCCACCAAGATATCCATCCGTCAGTCTCTCGAACACACCTGCCTGCCTGCTTGCCTGCCATCTGCTGCCGTGGGCAGACAGACAGACAGACAGACAGACAGGAAGGCTGTCTGTACTGTCGGCATTTGAGAGATGAGTTGTTCTAGTCTACCTCTACGACCAGTTGGCTGCCAAACGCCACTTGTATATCGTCGGCTCCCATCGCCTGACGCACCACCCTCATTGTCTCGGGGAACCTGGCGGCTCCGACCCCAATCACCGGCCGCTCCGTCGTGTACAGGTAGACGTCGGCCAGGTCGGAGGACGTGTCGGAGGAGATGTAGATGTAGATGTGTGCCTCGAATGTGTCGTCTGGTTGGCCGCCGTGCAGCAGTATCATTCGGTTGAAGTCTCCTAGTGCTCGAATGTGGTTGGTACTGATGGTGTGGCAGCCCCAGATGGGTGGCGGCTGAGTGGCGAGCTGCCGCTGAAGAGAAAGGGAGATGACAATGAGTGAGTGGGCGGCTGGTGAGGCAGTCGTGTGTTCCTTGCTGACCAGTCGGTTGTAGCGTGTGGGATCGTGCCGCTGGACACGATGGTCCGTGACCTTCGACCCTCCAAAGCCCATCCTGATCAGACACATCATGGCAGAGCGGCGCAGCCAATGTCTTCGTGCGTCATTCTGCTCATCCCTTTCTCACCTATCCAACACAACGTCGCGAACTGACGCAGACTCATTACGTATACCTGCACACACAACCCAATGGTCTCTCTCGCATAGCTCTGCCCCCTCCCCCCTCACCATCACTCTGACACACGGGGTTGGCCTCGTCGTATCCATTGCGGAAGGGGTGGTTGGCCGGCAGCGTCAGCAGTGGGCGGATGGTCAGCCGATGCCCATCCAGCCGCTCCAAGCCATTGCTGTCGCGCTCGAGCGGGATGCCGATGTGGCGCTGGATGAGTGAGAGCTGCCGCAGCGCCTCACACCGCCCCTCAAACACCGCCCGGCTGCCCACCCCCTCCACATCAGCACTGGTCAGCTCTATCGGCAACTTCCCGCCTCCCCGCCGCTGATGCACAGCCACCCTGACGATGGGCACCGTCGCCGCCCACTCGCCGCTCTGCTGGATGATGTGCAGGAGCCGCAGCAGATGACCGACGGATGGCAGGTCATAGCTGAGGATGTTCTTGAGGCCCTTGGCGACGAGCTGTGCATCGATCTGCGTCTTGACATAGGCTTCCGACACTCGCTGGCTGCCGAGTGTGCAGGTGCGGCGGAGGCCGGCGAGGCCATCGGGGCCAAGCAGAGCGAAGACGACGTCACGCTCGACGTCCGGTGGCAGGTCGAACAGGCCAACGTGCTGGCCGGCCTGAGGGTAAAGGCGGCAGATTGAGAGATATGTGCGTGGCTGTCTGTGTGGTTGTGGCTGTCTGTGTGTCTGTGTGTGTACCGTGTCGCCGTCGGACTGATTCCGAGGCGCCCTCTCAACTAATGTGAAGCCCTCATGCATCTGCACACACCACAACAGACACACACACACACAAGGTGGATCTTGCAGCAGCCACCAGACCAATGGGCACATCAGAATGCCTACCTGATGGCCATGCGGCGATGCCGTGGCCTGGTGCGGCACCACCACAGTGAAGTCCTCTCGCCCCTCCACTTCCCTCATGGACACTCTCGTCCGTCCGCCGGTCTCCTCAGTGCGGTAGACGTCGGCCTTGACGTACACCTGTTGGCCCTTCTCCCGATTGGCTGTCACCATCCACACACGAGTGCCGGTCTTGTACCGCTCGTGGGATGACGGCAGCATCTGATGGATGGATGGATGAAACCAATCAACCAATCAACCAAATGAGTGAATGAGTGAATGAATGGGCTACTCGTACCTGTGGCTGCGACAAGTCTGCGGCAGCAGATGAAGATGAGGCTGCAGCCGCCATGGCGCCGCGCTGGCCAAACACAGACGCCTGAAACAAGAGGGCAGAGGCACACATTGCGTCACATCCCTCCAGCATCCTTCTCATCTGAATGCTCACCGACTCAGATGTGAGTACGGCCTCTCAGTGGAAGCTTCTCATCGCAGGGCACTCCAGTGAAAGCAGTGAGCGCCAAACAAGCTCTACAAGCTCCAGAGCATTCGTTTCTCGCGGCAAGCTCAGAGCTCGCAAAGAGAAGTGGAGGATTGAACCGATGCCATTTGCAGTTTGGAGTTGAAAATGGTGAGCCGGCCAGCACTGCAGATGATCCACTGCATCTCACAGACACGTCGAGCGTCACACACACAACATCCACCAACGTCACGCATCACGCCACCATCCAGTGTGAGTGGATCCATCACTATAGCCACCCCTCCCTCCCTCCCTCCCTCCCCTCTGCTTGTCTATCAGCTCTCTGTTTACTCTTCCATCCATCCATCCATCTCACTGGATCAGTCATACAGCGCCTCCCTCCCTCTCTCCCTCCGCAACCACAATCGTCAGTCAGCAAGTATGTGATGTCGGCTACTCGTCCCCCATCATGCTGCCGCCATCTGCGGCCTTCGCCGTCTGCTCGCCACGCCGCCTCTGCCGCCGTCTGTCGTCGGCCGCCATCTCACCCTCTCCGCCATCGTCGCCAGTCGATGCCGATGATGCGGCCGCCTCGCCCTTCTCGCCACGATTGCCATCACCACCAGCACCACCAGCAGCAGGAGCTGAGGCGGCCGCAGCAGGGGCGGCAGAAGATGACGACACGTAATCAGACACCAAAGGGACACTAATAGGCACCTGAACACATGAAATGAATGGTCCACCTGAGTTTGTGTGTCGGCCGCATGTGTGTGTCTCATCGATGTGTCATTGCAGCCTCACCTGTGAGTTGTGGTCAGCGATCTCTGCCAGCTGCTTGGTCATCTCCGCCAGAATAGTAGACAGGCTGCCGGCCAGCGACGCGCCATCCTGCGGGCAACATACGGACACACGAATGGCAAGAGAAGACGGCTGCTCGGCTATGTGGTGTTTCGTGCCAACCAGTGTGCTGTCAGCTTGTGAGGCGATCATGCGCTCTGCCACGTCAAGATCAGACACCAACTGAGAGGCGACCTGCAAGCCAAAGCCAACACATTCACATCTCTAATGCTGCGTGTGTTGAGCCTTGTTCTCCTCCTCTCACCGAACGCATCGAACGTATCTTTTGCAGAAGGTCACGGGAGCTACCGCCGCAGCTACCGCCGCCACCCGCCCCGCCGCCCTGCCCATCTGCACCGGTACCACACAATCAGGTCACACAAGGCATGACACACGGAAGCTGTCCATCAGGCGCGGCTTGTGAGACCTGCAGAGGATGCCGGGCCGCCACCGCTGTCTATGCCCATCAAATCACCGCCTGCGGTGGTGGACAAGGAGGTGAACGACCGGTGCACTTGTGTGCCGCGTGTTGTGTAGATGTGTGTGTGTACCATTGTGTTGCGAAAGGGAGCCCGCCGCCGCACCTGCAGCAGGTGGAGCAGCTGCAGCTGACGACGAGGCGGCAGCAGCAGCACCCACAGCAGGACCTAACACCCAGCCACACAAGCCTTCACAACCACCCCTTCATTGTGTGCCGCCCCTTCTTGTGCTTGCCTGAAGTCTGCTCGCCACCCTGACCACTACCATCATCACCAGCAGCTGGGGGGAGAGCTATGGCCAGCCGGTTGCCGAACGCCACCACGGCAGCGTCCCGCATCATTTCATGCACCACCCTCACTGTCTGGGGGAGCAACGCCGCCCCCTCCTTGCCATCCACCGGCCGCTCTGTCGTGAAGAGGCGGGCCTCGGCATTGGGGGTGAAGCTTTGGATGTAGATGTGCGCCGTGAAGGTGTGGTCCGGCTGGTCGCCATGCAGCACTATTATTCTGTCGAAGGCTTGTAGTGTTGCCCAGTGGATGGTGCTGATGGTGTGGCAGCCCCAGATGGGCGGCGGCTGCCTGGCGAGCTGCCGCTGAAGAGAAAGGGAGATATGACAATGAGTGAGTCGGCAGCTGGCGAGGCAATCGTGTGTGTGTGGGTGTGTGGGTGTGACTGACCAGTCGGTTGTAGCGGGCGGTATCGTTGTACAAGGTAACACACTGGTCCACGACCTTCGACCCTCCAAAACCCATCCTGATCAGACACATCACGGCAGAGCGGCGCAGCCAATGTCTTCGTGTGTATCATTCTGCTCATTTTCTCACCGACACAACACAGCGTCGCGAACTGACAGAAAGTGAGCACCTGCAAACAAACACACGCGCACAACCAAGTGACCCCTTGCCCACAGCCCTCTTTGTCTCCCTTCTTCACCATGATATTCACACACGGGGTTGGCCTCGTCGTATCCATTGCGGAAGGGGTGGTTGGCCGGCAGGGTCAGCAGTGGGCGGATGGTCAGCCGACGCCCACCCAGCCGCTCCAAGCCATTGCTGTCGCGCTCGAGCGGGATGCCGATGTGGCGCTGGATGAGTGAGAGCTGCCGCAGTGCCTCACACCGCCCCTCACACACCGCCCGGCTGCCCACCCTCTCCACATCAGCACTGCCCAGCTCTATCGGCAACTGCCCGCCTCCCCGCCCCTGATGCTTGGCCACTCTGATGATGGGCACCGTCTCCGCCCACTCGCCGCTCTGCTGGATGATGTACACCAGGTCCAGCAGCAGGTTGAGCGATGTCAGGTCAGCGGAGAGGGTGATGACGTTCTTGAGGCCCTTGTCGGCCATCAGGCGGTCGATCTCCTCCTTGACACACTGGAGCACGACGTGCTGGTTGGTGTCGGTGATCTTTGAGAGGAGTGCCCGTCTGGTGGGCTCAGAGTGGGCCGCTTTGCTGATCACAGTGGACGAGAGGGGCGGAGGGCTGGCGGTGGGGCGGTCCCGATCCGATGATGACGTCGCCTGATGAGTAAAAGGAAACAAAAAGAGAGCAGAGAGCCATAGTGATGCCTGGCACATGATGGATTTGTGCGTGCAGTTCACTCACGGGTGGGTGAGGTAAGTCGGCTACATGGGCGGCGGCAGCAGCAGCGGATGAAGATGACGCTGCAGCCGCCATGCTAGGGTAGGGAAAAGGACTGCAAACAAGAAAGCCAGAGGCACAGAGTACATTCTATCCAGTCATCCATCCTTCTCATCTCAATGCTCATCAACTCAGATCACCAGGAGGACATTTCTCGCCTCAGAGGGCTGCGCAACGAACCGAAAGAAGCCACAACACTCACGGAGGAAGGACAGCCATCTGGCAGCCAGAGGGTTGAGGGGCTAAAGGGTTTGTTACCCTTTTACCCTAGAGGCCAGGCCCTGTGGATAAGATGCATCCATCAGGTGTGCGGCTACAGGTGTGTTCAGCGCCCATTTGGTTCGTTGCCACCGATGACAACACGTGAGTTCACGAGCACGGTTCCTCCCTGACGCCTGTGCACCTGTGTGTGTGTTGCAGATCTTATGGTTATCTGAGGTGGATCTGACGTGTCGGCATGGAGGCTGCGATCACCTGACCAGTGAACACAAACGGACGGGTGGGCGCCCATCTCGTCTTTCCCTCTCTCTTCATTTGGTGCAGGTGGTTGATAGTGTCCTCCCGATGGACATCAGTAGCGATGGCGGCCCGGCGCCCTCAAGAGGTCGGTGATGACACACACATTCAACCACACGTCGACTGAAGTGTAATGCCTTCTGTGTGTGTGGTGCTGGTGTAATGCACTCAGGTGGGCAGGGCGACGGCAGCCTGCGGGATGTCATAGATCAGATACACTCGGTGAGAGAAAGACAGAAAGAGAGAGAGAGAGAGAGAGAGAGAGAGGGGAGGGATGGCGGGTCTTCCGCATGCTATGCTGCAGCACTTATGTGTTGGCTCTGCTGTGCAGGTCGCCTCTCACATAGCCGCGAGTAGTGAGGCCGCGAAGCTGAAGGTACCAGCTGATGCCGGCAACGACACACAGGTCAGCACAGACGCTTCCGTGCAGCCATCTGCCCACACTCATTTCTGTGTACTGTTTACAGGCCTGCGTATCGCTGATTGACCGGTTGTCCGATGTGCTCAAGACCCTCTCAGACGCCGACTCGAGATTCAGCAATGAGCTGTTGCAGATCCCGACAACAGAGTACAACACACACCTGAGCATGGAACGACCAACAGAAGACGCAAACAGAGCAGTCACGTTCTTGCTTGTCTGTGCATTTGTGTGGATGTCAGCGCAAGGATGGCGACGGCAAGGGCTTCCGGTGGCTGTACAATGTCAACGACCGACCCCCCGGTGTGTCTGAGAGTTCGGATGAGACCGACAAGGCGGCACAGCACAGCAAAGCGGTCAGTGGAAACACACACACACGTCAGTGCATCCACAGGCGGGCCGGCTCATGTGCTCAGGTGTCAACTGGTGATGGGAAGCGCTCGCGCGTTGGCACCAGCCAGGCAGCAGCCGTAGCTGCTGCGAGTAGTGGAGGTGCGCACGACACCGCCCGCCCACCGGTGGCTGCAGACATCGCGACGGTGATTGTGCTGTCTGGTGGTGTGTGTTGCCTTCAGGTGGCTCGAGTAGTGTTGGTGGTGCTGCGGGAGGGACACAGCAGCAAAGGGGAAGCTCACAGGTGGCACACACACACATCACCATTTCTGTCTGTTGCCGTAGGTGCCTCATCATCTTTCTGTGGTGTTGTGTGTGTCAGGGTTATGGCCGTCCGTGTCTGCCGGGTCTGCCTGAGGGCGTCATGGGTCACCTCGGGTCCTTCCTCACCACCGCCAAGGCGGCCGCCAGGCTGCCCAAGGTCAACAGGGAGACCCGACAGAAGGCCGTTGACGAGACCTTCGGCGTGTTCCGGCACTTCAGCGTGACAGCCAACGAAGAAGGCGTCTACGGGAAAATCCAGAGGCTGGAGGACATGAAACACCTGGTGAGATGGAACACCTGGTGACATCTGTTGGTCGGGTGGTAATGTGCGCGTGTATGCGGGTGTGCAGGGCAAGATCCGAACTGCCTATGTCGAGATGCACAGTGTGGTGCCGTGTGTGGGGGCGTGCCTCGAGGCATCCAGGGCGACACTCAAGCAGCTGCACACGTCGAATTGGCTCATCTCCCTTGATGAGAGCAACGCGCGTGCCCCGGGGGACCCGATCTCATTTCCAAAGCTGACAGACATGGGGATCCAATCCAAGCTGTGGCTCCAATACGTCAGGTGGGTATACAACAGCCATGCATACAACAGCCATTGATCACATTATCACATTGCTGTGCTTGCCTGCAGCATCCGTCGTTGGGCCCTTCCCGCTCTCACCAATCTCGAGGTCTGCGTTCACAGCTACGGGTATCCCGAGGCGTCGAGATCCCTCGTGTCCGTCCTCGAGGGGGCGCCCAAGATTGAGCGGATAGAGACCAAGCCCATCGCGTTTGACGACGACACTTGGGCCAGATTCATTACCGCCGTCAGCAACTGCCCCCACATCACCACCATAACCTGCATGACGATCAGGATGGACCAGTTCGTCCCCCGCCTCAATGACCTCAAGCAGGCTCTCGACCAGCACTGGAGCAAACCGAAGAACAAGGGTAGGTGATTAGGCCGAAAGCTGTGCTGTGTCGGACCACGAAGCGGCTGGCTCATCGGCCTTGTTTCTCCATTCTTTGTGTGCCAGATGTGCCGAAGAGGCTGGCGTTCTCGGTGCGTGGTGCGTCGATCGGTGTGGCGTACGGGCAAGGAGTTGCCGACGTCGGGCGTTTGGTAGATGGGCTTCGGAGGCGAATTGCGACCTCGAGTGGAAGACAGATTGGGACGGGTTGGCGCTCGACTGCAGTAGCGACGCTGCGAGTGCCCTTCCTGCGCCCGGCGGCCTCTATGGCGAGATTGCACGACAGCTGATAGCCAAGACCAAAACGGTGAGGAGCGGGCAGACAATACAGGGAGGGAGAGAGATCCGGACAGGGCAGCATGTGTTTTGGTTGCGCCTCTCTGTGTGCGTGTGTGCGTGTGTGTGTCTGTGACCTGATCAGGCCACACTGAAGCTGGGTGGGACCCAGTCACTCCACGAGACCTGGCGTGACAAGCTCACCTTCCCCAAGGCCAGCACTTTGGCCATCCAGGCCAAGGAGGGCGCGAGTGCCTCGGCCGTGGTCGACAGCATCCCCGAGTGGCTGATCGGTGACAGGGAGTGGGAGGGGGAGGGGTACCATGCGCTGAGTCGCCGCTTTCCGGCGGTCCGGGAGCTGCATGTGTTTTTTCCGACTCTCCCTTTTTCTGACCTACCTTCTGCCCCCTCTAAGCTGAGTCGTCTCGTGGGCGGGCTGGAGGGTCTGGTGCTTGTCTGGTTCCGCTCTTTGTCTCGCATAGCTCTGGCTTGTGAGCTGCTGTCGTATGTCTCTGTGACGCACTTGGAGATGGTCGCCTTTTGGCAGCCTCCTGCGTCCAATGCATGGCCCGACAGTGTGCCTGCGGAGTGGCGTCTGCGCTGCCCACGCATCTCGCGGGGGGATCTAGGGTTATGGGTCGACGCGTCCGGCAAGGCAGTGGTGCGGTCGCTTGTGCAGTTCGTGTCGATATACCGCCCAGTGCATGTCAACTTTGCTGCACGGATAGCTGAGGATGAGTTGGAGGGGGAGGATCAGATAGATGCGCTCGGGGACCTCCGGTCATTGGCGTGGGAGTGCTTTGAAGACCTCAAGGCACTCTACACCATGACCAGTGGGTCGTGTGAGCTGAATCAGAGGGAGGAATATTGGCTAAAGGTTGACCTGGTGGCCAAGTGAGGCGCAGGGGCTTCATGTTTGCGTGATTCATTCATGGTTAGAGGATCGTGCGTGAGGTGATGGGCGCTGTTCGGCGACGAACTGGAGGTAGATATTGATGGACGAGTCCATCCCTGGTGTGTGTAGTGGAGGGCGGCTGCATGTATGGTGCTCTCCTCTGCCTGTGGGGATTGATGCGATGGATATGACGCACCTCAGTTGCGCTTTAATGAATGTCGAGAACTCAGCCAGACACGAGTCGAGACATTAACGCTTCACACGCAGGCGTCCGTCATCGATGCGACACACACATCCTCTGCGTCCATCCATCACAAAAGACGTATTTGCACCCAAACAAACGACACGCACAACAGCTGTCATTCACCACCGGTCTGTCTGACTGTCTCTGCATGAATCCGCTGCTAGCGCACTTCGCCCACCGTGTGTCGGCTGCTCGCTCACCGCGCTCTCTGTCCTTCCCAGCCCGTACTCGACCAAGCAACATCCATAGAAAGATGGATGGGTCGATGAACTGCTGTTGGTCGACGAGCAGAGGGCTTGGAGAGAAAGGGGCAGCATGGAAGAACCAGACAGGCTTGGTCACGAGCAGAACCAGGCGCACAATGAGTGAGCTAGGCGGTACAACAGCCCACGACCCATCCATGCATCCATCCATCCACATGCGTGCTCCCGTCTGGCCAGACGGCACCCGATAGCTGATACATATCCACACTCAGACAGACTGTACAAGGTCTTGCCAACCCCACCCCACCCCAAACTCACTTAGCCACCAGCTTCATAGTGAGACAGAAGAGTTCGTCAAAGGCCTCGCTCGCCTTGCACGACCCTTCCGTCATGGTGTAGAGTGCCTTGACTCGCTCGTAGCGCTCCCACGCGAAAGACCGGAGGTCTCTGAGCCTAGCTGCCTCCACCTCCCCCTCCCCCTCCAACGCCTCCTCGTCCCCCACCTCAAGCTCACTTCAATATATGTATCCAGTTAGATCGGCACGCAGTGGTCGCAGTGTGGACACCAACTGCAGAAACGACTCTACGCCTTCCTTGTCACGCCAGAGGTCCCCATCGGACTCGTCTGGGGCAGTAGCCATGTGCTCGATAAGAGGGCAGCGCAGGGGCCACTCTTCTAGCACATCGTCTGGCCACTCGTACGTGTCCGGCCCGTTGAAAAGGCCGGCGCCAGGAGGCCGGGCAAAATAGGCCTTGGCCAGGCGCGGCACAGAGAGATACGAGAGTAGCTCACACGCCACAGCTAAGCTAGGATAAGAGTAGAAGGTGACTCTCTTGAGTCCCGTCAGCGCCGCAACAAGCCGGCTCAGCTTGGATGGGGCAGAGGGAAGATCAGACAACTCGAAACTGCCGAAGAACACCTCCAAGTGCGCGACTGCTGGGAAGTGGCGGCTGGCCGCCGTCTGGCCCTCTCCCTCCCTCTCTGTCAGCCACTCGGGAATGCTGTCTAAGGCACTCGCGCCGTCGGCATCAATGGTGAGCTTCTCGGCCCTGGGGAAGATGAGCTCGTCACGCCACGAGGGGTGAAACCGCGGTCCGCCGACACACAAAGTGACCTGACACACACAATGGACACACACACACACACACACACATGCTTCCTTCCCGGTCTGTCTGCTTCTCCCTCCCTCGAGGCACTGTCTGCCTGCTCCTTACATCCGCCGTCTTGGCTATTAGCTGTCTGGCGACCTCGCCATAGAGGCCCACAGGCGCGGGCAGGCCACCACTGACGGTGTCACTGTTGCAGCCGACCCTCAGCGTGTCCCACGGCTGCCACTCGAGGTCGCAATTCGCCTCCGCCGCCCATCTACTGAATGCCTGAACGCCGTCCGCTCCCTGCCCGTACTCCCCGTCGATCGTCGGATCACGCACTACAAAGCCCAGCTTCTTGGGCAGGTCTGAAGCCGCGAAAGGGGCAGAGAAGACAATCAGGACTCGTGGAGGTCGGACTCATTTCTCGGTGACTTACCTTTCTTCTCTGGTTTGGACCACTGCTGGTCGAGGGCGTCTTTGAGCTCATTGAGGCGGCCGAACTGGCACATCAAGATGTCCAGGCCGGCGATGGTGGTGAGGTTGAGACAGCTGTTGAGGGAAGCGGTGAAGTCGGCCCAGTCGCCGTCGTCAATGACCATACGCTCGGCCTCCAGCCGTTCGATATTGGGGGAGGCACTGAGGAGGGGCACGAGAAACGCTGCAGCCGAGAGGTGTGAGTACGAGTGTGCTTGGCCGATTAAGAGGCTCTTGGGTGGTTTGCCGATTTGGAGGATCTTGAGGGCGGGGAGGGACCACCGACGCTTGCTGCATCACCCACACAACAAATGTGGTCAGACACCACGAATGCCTTTCTCCAATGTAGCACACCTGAAGCAGTCTAGCCACTTGAACGACTGAACATTCATGTGGGTCAAATTGGAGAAAGGGGTGGAATATCCTGGCGCGCGCATCGGCGTTGAAAAGAAGAGACCAGATGGCACATGCGGTACGTGCAGCTCCCCGAGCGTCTCTGCAGACTTCTCCAGGCACTCGACGACACACGACGCCACAGGTGACGCCTCCAGATAGGCCGTCCGGATCTTGCCCTGCACACACACACACACACACACACACCAAACCAGCGAATGTCACGTGCCACATCTTTGCCGATGACGCTGCACCCCCATCTCACCAGGTGCTTTAGCTGGTGCTGTTTCTGTATGCTCCTGTACTTGCCGCTCTCGTCATCCGTCATGGCGAAGTGTCGGAAAACGCCGTATGTGTCGTCTGTGGCCTTCTCCCGGGTCTCCTTGTTGACGCGTGTCAGGCGAGTGACCGCCGTCGTTGTCAGAAACGATCCTATGTGGCCCATCACCGCGGCAGGGACGCCCGGCAGACACGGGCGGCCGTAATCCTGACACACAAACACCATGACGCACGGATGAGTCAGTGACGGTAATATCCTGTTGTGTGGCTGGTGGTGCGTGTACCGGTTTGCCGTCACTCCGAGCCACACCCTTCTCGCTCGACAACTTGAAGCCCTGCACACCAACACATGCGCAGAGATGACGTGTGGATGTGGTCGAGGTGATTGCGCCTCCCACGTGTGCCTTCCGCGTGTACCCGCTGGCCATGAGGCGGTTTGTTGGCTTCGTGTGGCACAATGACGGGCTCGAGTTCCTCCTCCCGTCCGCCCACCTCCCTCATGTATACTGCCGTGCCCTTCTGCCCTCTGTCTTCGGTGCGATGGACACGCGCCGTGACCCACACATACTTACCAGCCTCCCTCCTCGTACGCGACGTCACCACCACACAAGTGCCCAACGGGTACCGAAAAATGCAGGATCGCTGACCACACGACACGAATGAAGATCGGTGGTCCACTTGTCACTGCCTGGTCATTCCATGCTCACGTGTGTGTTGTACTCTGTTGTCGGGATCTGCGACAGCTCATTGCTGAATCTCGAGTCGGCGTCTGAGAGGGTCTTGAGCACATCGGACAACCGGTCAATCAGCGATACGCAGGCCTGTAAACAGTACACAGAAATGAGTGTGGGCAGATGGCTGCACGGAAGCGTCTGTGCTGACCTGTGTGTCGTTGCCGGCATCAGCTGGTACCTTCAGCTCCGCGGCCTCGCTACTCGCGGCTATGTGAGAGGCGACCTGCACAGCAGAGCCACCAACAGCAGCTGCGGAAAGACTCGCCTTCCCTCCCCTCTGTCTCTTTCTCTCACCGAGTGTATCTGATCTATGACATCCCGCAGGCTGCCGTCGCCCCCCGACCCGCCGCTCTCCTTCCCTGTCAATGCATTACACCACCACCACACATACAAGGCATGACACCATTGGCGGATCACGCCCATCCACCCTGTGTGCATCATGACCTCCTGAGGGCGCCGGGCCGCCATCGCTACTGATGTCCATCGCCAGGACACTACCAACCACCTGCACAAATAGAGGGAAAGACGAGATGGGCATTCACCTGTGTGTTTGTGTTTTCAGCTTGCGCACTCACTGCTCAGGTGATCGCAGCCTCCATGCCGACACCTCAGACAACCATAAGATCTGGCAGCACAGACACACACACACACACCGTGCTCGTGGAGTCGTGTTTTCATGGGTGGCAACGAACCAAGGGGGGGCTGAACACATCTCTAGCCGCTAATGTAGCCGCACACCTGATGGATGGATGAATGAATTATGAATGGACCGTCCTCTCCTGTTTCTGTTTCGGGGCAGCAGCGGTTTCAGGCAGCACCCTAGGCGTCCTGTTTGTGGGGCGCCCTGCGAGCTTGTGAGAAGCCAAACAAGCTCTGTGATGAGAATCCTCAATTGAGACGTGCTGTACTCACGGATAATTTGGTGGGCATCGAGATGAGAAGGATGGATGGATGAGAAGGATGTGGCTGGATAGAATGTACTCTGTGCCTCTGGCTTTCTTGTTTGCAGTCCTTTTCCCTACCCTAGCATGGCGGCTGCAGCGCCATCTTCATCCGCTGCTGCTGGACCTGGTCCTGTAGCCGAGTTGCCGCGGCAACAGGTGAATGAAGAATTCACACACACAGATCATATGGCCAAGCATCAGGGTGGTTTCTTGTTGGTTTCTCCATCAGGCAATGTCATCGTTGGGCCAAGGCCGCCCCACCAGCCCTCAAGAACTGCTTCCCCTGCTCATCAGCAAAGCCGCCCGCTCGAACCCCACCAGACGCGCACTCATCGCACAGATTGCCAACGGCCCCCTCACCCAGCAACAGCTGCAGCTGGAGCATAACAAGGAGAGCATCACCCGCACTGTGGTGCAGCGCGTCAAGGAGCACATCAACCGACTGCTGGGAGACAAGGGCCTCGAGGACATCATCACTGTCTCCACTGAACTGACATCCCTCGACCTGCTGTTGGAGCTGGCGCACTTCATCGAGAACAGCGGCGAGTGGGCGGGCTGGAAGCCCATCGTCAGGGTGGCGAGGCACAAGGAGCGGGTGGAGCGGTTGCCGATAGAGCTGGTTAGTGCTGATGTGGAGGGTGTGGGCAGCCGGGAGGTGTTTGACAGCCGATGTGAGGCGCTGCGGCAGCTCTCAATCATCGGCCGCCACCTTGGCATGACGCTCGAGCGCCCCAGCGAGCGACGCAACATTGGCGAGGAGCGGCTGGATGGGCATCGGCTGACCATCCGCCCACTGGAGAACCTGCCGGCCCGCCACGCATTCCGCGATGGATTTGACCCGGCCAACCCTGTGTGTGAGTATCGAGGTGAGAGAGGGGGGAGGGAGGGCCGGAGGGCTGTGGGGAATGGGTCATTTAGTTGCATGTCCGTGTGTATGTCTGGTTGCAGGTGACGACTTTGCTTCAATTTGCGACGCTGTGTTGAACTGGTGAGAAAGATGAGGAGAATGATACACACGAACACATATACACACTGGCTGCGTCGCTCTGCCATGGTGTGTTTGATCAGGATACGCTTTGGAGGCTCGGAGGTCGCCTCCCATTTTGTCTTCCAGTACAACGATCCCGCAGGCTACGCCCGAGTGGTCAGCCATACACAAGAAGCGCCTCTCACCCACCCACCAGCTACTCCTCTCACTCATTGCCATATCTCTTGTGTGGTTTCTCTGCAGCGGGATCTTGCCAATCAGCAGCCGCCTGTGTGGAATTGCCGCACCATCAGCACGAGCCACCAGGCGGCGGGATTCTCTTTGCGTGTGATAGTCCTGCACGGCGACCAGCCCAAGCACATGTTCCAGGCCCACATCGACATCTACAGCAACCCCCACAATACCCAGGCCCGCCTGTACACGACGGAGCCTCCCGTGGTGGGGGTCGGAGCCGGCAGATTCCCACAGACAGTGGGGGCGGCGCGGCAGGTCATGGGGGCCGGCGATGCACAGCTGGTGTTCGGTGGCCTGCTAGTTCCGTAGCCACAGACTGAGTCGCCCCTTGTATCTAGAGAGAGCGTGTGTGTCTGTCTGTCTGTCAGCTTTGAGCAGGCCAGGAAGAGCTATTTTTCAATCCGTAGATACAGAACGCATCCATGGTAGATGACTGTGTTCGTCTGTGGTGCGTTTGATGTCACTTTCCGCAATTGTCTCTACGCACGATCTCTCTGCGCAGTGAGAAGTGATTTGATTTAAGTCGTCACGCGTTCACTGATTCTAGGTGCGTGTGGCGTAGTATGTGTGGCATCACTACTGGATGCGTGTGATGCCTGATAGCACCTACTCACCTCCAGCGGCTCGGCTGTCTCCTCTCCTAGCTAGGTCAGCTCACACTCGCACGAGCGATCCGCTTGTGGCCTTTTCTCTTCTGTGTCTGTGTGTCTGATGTCTGTGTGTCTGTGTGGTTCTGTGTGTCGGCTCTGAGCACGCCATGAAGATATTGATTTTTTCCAATCCGTAGATACAGAACGCATCGATCCATATGGTAGATGACTGTGTTGCGTTTGATGTCACTTTCCGCAATTGTCTGTCACGCACACACATGACGGCATGCAACACAGAGGGCGAGTACTACCTACTGCATCAACTCTCACACACGCCCCGCATCTGTCCACACTAGCTAGGGCTGGGTTGGCTCGTCTGGCTCATCCTTGCAGTCAGTCACACCCTCTCGCTCCGGCCCCCGCACCCCCACCTGTTGCTGGTTAGTCGGTTGAGCGAGATGAAGGGTGCTATGAATGAAAAACTTCACACCAGGAGACAAAAAGAGAAAAGCCAGCCAGACTGGTAAGCCGCGGTCGTGCACGGAGTTTGCCCTCCCTCTGGACCGTCACTCAACCGACCGTGTTGTGTGTTTGGTGTTCGGCCGAACAAAAGGGCGAGACAAGAAGGGGCAGCAGAGAAAAATGAGTCAGGCAGACACACCATCGGCTTGGCCATGAGCAAAACAGCCGACGGAAGTGTCGACACACGCCACCATCCATCCATCAATCCATCTAGGCACACAGACAGACTCCACAAGAATAGTGCGGCCGACCCCCCCGCCCAGCCCCTCCCATTGACTCACTTGGCGGCCAGCTGCATGGCAAGACGGTACTCTCCCACATCGATTTGCTCACATGAGCCGCCCGTCATGGTGTAGAGCGCTTTGACACGAACGTAGCACTCCCACGCGAATGAACGGGCTGCATGGAGCCCAGATGCATTGTCTCCCTGCTCACCCTCCCCCTCTCCCTCCAAGTCATCCCGATCCAGTGTTACAGTGAGGTCGACACGCGCTGGGCGCAGTGTCGCCACCAACTGCAGGAACAGCTGTGCATCTTCCTTGTTATGCCACTGATCCATGACGACTCCGTCGGATGGGAGGAAACCAAGCGCTCTATACTGGGTGAGCGAAAATGCCACTCCGCTGGCACACTGGCTGGCCACGCATACACACACACATCGATGCCACACACGGCCATGAATGTGACAGCCGGCTGACTGTCTATGTGTCTAATGTGCAGACAGACACGGACACACGTTAGTGAGCACACGGCTGTCTGGGCGGTGGCTGTTGTGCCGCATGAGCATGCGCACCTGCGTGATTGCTGGAGCAACAGAGACACCATCAGCATGATATGACCCCACTGCACACAATACAATACAGACTGAGATTCCTTTCACTGATCCCGACGACTCGATTCAATTGAATGGATGACATACATCCACGCGTCTGTCCACCTCGCCATTCGACACGCACGAGTCTGCCCGTCCCGTCCCTCCCTGCCCCTTGAGAGTCAGTGAGGATGTAAGTATGCACACAGCAGCCAGGCTAACCAGGTCAACTAGGTCTTGGCAGCCACCCCAGCTGCCGTCTCAACTCAAACAGCCCAGATGTATCTAGCTATCGCGTCCCTACTCTGTCGGCCGCTCGAGTCCCAACGCAGGCCAACGCGACTAACCTGACCAAACAGACAGACAGACAGACAGACAGGCAGGCAGACAATGGTCGAAAAGGCTCTCCATTACTGTGTGTCGTACGTGTCTACGACGCGTCACGGGAGACCATCACGACAGGGCACCCAGACCGCTCCTCCACTGTCACGGGGAAATGTCCGATCGTCGAGCCGTCGGGGAAGGCGGAATGGATGGCCGCTGGGGAGTGGTTGTCGAATGACAGGGCCACACGCTGCAGACCCGGGACGTGCTGGAACAGACCCGAGAGTGCGGACGGGAACTCGGCCTGGACATCACCTGACAGCACTGCACACACACACACACACACACACGACAGCGATGGACGAACGAGACCAAAGAAGGAGCCTGTCTTGATTGCCTTTTTTCACCCACCATGTGCACTGAAACACAGCTGGCTAATCGTCGGCAAGTCGGCGGCCAAGGGGAAGGACACCTGCCGCGGACTCCCCCTGTGGATCGATACCTCCTCCACGACCCTCTCGCTACCCAGCTCGCCCACGATGCCCAGCGCCTCACCGGTGGGGAATCCGCTGATGGTCACTTTCGCCACTTGGGTCGCCATCCGGGCGGCCAGCAGACGGCCCGCAGTCGCAGCCAGCCTGCCGGTGATGTCTAATTGGGTGGCCTTTGGGAATGGCCTGAGGTGGTCGATGATGGCGGGGTGGGGGCAGGGTGTGGTGGGAGGGGGAGGGGGGTAGGTGAAGACGCACACCGTCACCCTCTCGGCGCGCTCGAAGGACAGGCTGGAGGCCACGTCGATGGCCGCTTTGCTGGGATTGTCCACGGTGTTGTTGATCTCGTGTTGCGCCATGGCGAAGTAGATCTCGTTGGCCTGCCGTGCCAGCTGCTGGATGGTCTGCTTGAAGAGGGCCGAGGGGTTGCGGGGGAAGTCATCGCCGTAGAAGAGCGACAAGCTCAGGTGCATGCTGTTGGCGTTGGCCGCGCTGGGCGAGTCCTCCTCGAAGATGAAGGGGGCGTCTGGCCGGCAGCACGCCTCGTGCAGCTGCTCCAGGGACTGCACCACGGGAAGGACACTCGAGTCTATGTCGCGGAAGTCCAGCAGCAGGGTCAGATGTGTCATTGACCGGCGGCAGCCACGAGACCACAGCACACCCTGAAGGCAAGAAGAGGAAAGCACCTGTGTGTGAGGTCATCGGCCGTGTGTGAGGTAGTTGTACTTACCCTCAGTCGGTCAACGTCTTCTTTGGTCTGAGCAGGATTGCCATTGAGAATGATGGTGCCGATGCTCTGGAGCTGTGCAAGCGGCCCTGCATCCGCCCCCGCCGACATTGTATCTGTCGGGCCCTGAAACGAGATCTCACCTGCACCAGACAAACATCGGTTGCGATGAATGCTGCGGTGGATGTGATCAGCTGTTCGCCCTTCGCTGCATGTGCGAGCGGATGGGAACGGTACTTACGGTTCGATGAAGCACGGTTGTGAAATGATCTGCCGCGGAAGGAAAGACTACAACTAGTGGCTATGCCGTCATGCTGGTGGCACGCCCGCTGGCGGAGGGCTGCCTGGCAGCACGATCGTGAAACCCTGAAACCCCAAACCCTAGAAGCAGCAGCGGTTTCAGGCAGCACCCTAGGCGGCACGGGGCAAATTCTAATGGCGGACGACAACAGAGAAGACGAGGATCCTCGCGGCATCAGGCCGAACGTCAAACGCCGCATTGGCTTCCAAGTGAGGCAAGAGCTTGCATTGAGGCATTGATTTGCTGCAACATTCGCCTCTGTGTCTGGTATGGCTGGCTGGTCAGGTGTTCAGCGAAGGCGGCTCGTACGCGGAGCATGGTCTCCCGGTGTCGCCTCTCGCCGCCATCATCTTCATCTTCGGCTTCCTGATTGTCCTCTGGCTGCTGTCGCAGTGGACGACATCTCACACAACCTGAGTGACTGACAGGCGTCAGCCAGCAGAGCAGAGAAACGTAACTCCTTTTCCGCCCTGCCGTCTCAGCCAGCACACTTGTCTGAGTTTCCGTCGTGTTCTGCTGTGTCATTGCAGTGCGTGAGGGTCATGTCAGGACGGCGCAGCGAGGGTGCAGGTGTCAGCTCGGGCGCCGGCACGAGTGGCTCCCTGTTTGGCGCACCTGCGGCACAGTCACTCTTCGGCGCTGGAACCCCTCCACCCGCTGCTGCGGCGGCTGGTGGATCAACGGCGTCAATATTCGGAGGTGAGCACTGGTCCATCCCACCAGGCACCCACACTCCGTCCGGTGATCTCTGGTTACGTCGTCGGATGTATCCGTTTCAGGCCTGTTCCAGACCGGTGCATCGGGAACTAGCAGCACGGCTCAGTCTGCTCTCCCGGTCTTCGGCCAAACTGCCGCGGCCGTCTTCCCTCAGCCGAGTGCGCCGCCCTTCCCACCCGTCCCCGCACAGACCAATCCCACGGCCTTCCCCGGACTGTTCGGTGCGACGACCAGCAGCAGCGCCAGCAGTGGCCCGAACGCAGGAGGCCTCTTCGGCAGCACCAGCAGTGGCGGGGGTCTCTTTGGCGGCAGTAGCTCTGGTGGTGGGGGTCTGTTCGGCAGCACAGGTGGTCTGGTCGCCAGCTCACAGGCGGGCAGCACCGGCAGCATCTTCGCCAACACCAACGCCAGTGGTGGTGGTCTCTTCGGCAGCACAAGCCCCATTACCACCCCCATCTTCGCGAGCAGAGGGAGCGGTCTCTTCTCCACTGGCAGCACCACGGGCGGCGCGGCGGACTCCTCTGCCTTCCCCGCTGGCCCGCCGACACCCAATTTCGGACAGGCCAGCAGTGCGTCGTCATCTCAATCCATTTTTGGTGCCGCCCCTGCAGCGGCCGCTGCTCCAGCGGGTGGCTCGCAGGGAGGGGGGCTGTTTGGCTCGCTGCGCGTGAGTGGAGGTTTGTTTGGTGAAGGGGCGCCTGTGCCGATTTTTGGTAATAGCGGCAGTAGTGGCGGTGGCGTCGGTATGATGGAGGCCGGCGGGATGGGTGGGGGGCTAGGAGGGTATCTGCGGGTTCGAGTGCTGACCAACGCCGACCGGCCGATGGAGCCTGTCTCTATGGGTAGCCCATGAAATCAGGCAGACAAGAAGCCTCAGTACTGCGTCTCACCTTCTCGTGTGTGTGGCGGTCAGGTCCTTCCACCGGGAGTAGCAGCGTCTTCACCACATCCACCAGCAACGGCCGACGCGAAGTCGACCAGGGTGAGACAACTAGAGCACCATCCTCCCACTTAGCCTTCGTCCATGAATGCCGTCTCGTGCATGCAGCTGCGATCCGCAAGCGCGCCGTCGACAAGGCGCAGGCGGCGCTGCTCGGCCGCGTCGACCGGCGAAGTGCATCGGAATGTGTCCATGTTGGTAAGTCAGGCACACACACGGACGAAACGGACCATCTCTGCTTTGTTCCGATGGTTGGTTGTATGTTTATGTCTGAAGGTGGGATGTTTGATGGTGAGGTGGTGAAGGGCAGCCCCTTTCCTTTCCAGCAGTACGAGGAGCAGTTCCGCTTCCCCCATGAGCCGCCCGCGCCCACCATGAGCCAGTTCCACAGGCACATCATCGCACAGAAGGAATACGCCGTCAAGGTGAGATGAGGGAGGGAGGGAGGGAGGGAGCACTCACACCAGGGCACACAGTGAGAGGCTGTTAGCGTCATGCATGTATGTGTTGGTGCGGTGTGCGGTGTCTGCAGTCGCCTGAGGAGATCAGATTCGAGGCATGCTCCTCACAAATGCACTTACACTTTCACAATGGTCTTCTTTCAGCATCTCATGTGCCCGCTTCCTGCCTGTCTGCCTGCCTGTCTGCCTGCAGGACTATGAGATGGGCCGTTCACAATCTCCGCCAACGTCGTTCTTCGGCACGTCAGACGACTTCGACAAACTCATTACCGTCATCAAACAACGTGTGTGCGCAAACCATCAGCAAGCACGTCACAGCCAAATGGCCACACCCATCCCTGCCTGTGTGTGTGTGTGTGTTCAGAGGCCGGCAGCCGCGCCAAGACGGCAGAGTTCAACGGCTTCATCGAGGCCGTCAGACAGCTCGTCAACTCACTCGTCGAGTGAGTATACACCCAACCACACACACTCATCACGGAGCCCACACAACATCACATCCATTGTGCGTGTGTGTGTGTGGTTCTCTCCGTCGTCTGTCCACCAGGTCTGAGACCAGGAGCGCCAACCAGGAGCTGGATCGCGAGGCGGCATCTGACGAGCGCGGACGGCTAGAGAAGCAGATACAGGAGCTGAAGGAGGAGCTCGAGAAGGCCAAGAAGGATCCCTCCAGGCCGCTTGACAGAAAGACCATCGAAGGTCAGCCACCGGCCCACCCACTCACACATGGAGAGTGCACCCACCTCTGTATGTGTGGTGTGTGTGATGTGCGCAGGGTTGCCTGTGGATGAGTTGAAGCAGCTGAAGCGTGACAAGGAGGGCGAGGTGGCCATGGTGACGGATACGATCATCAGCAAGCTCGAGGGAGACGACAAATGCATCATCTGCATGGTCAGTCCGTCGGCCAGCCACAACACTCGTCTATTGCTGGCCGTGTATGTGTGCGTATGTGTGTGTGTGCAGGACAAGGTGACTCAACGACTCACATCACCGTGCCAACCACAGAGAGGTGGACGCAATCGCTCTGTGTATGTGTGTGGGTGTGGATCAGGCCAAGGAGGTTGTTTTCATCCCCTGCAGACATCAGTGCGTCTGCCAGGGTGGGTGAGAACACGTCACCCCCTACACACGAGAGAGCGGCGCGCACCACACCATCATGATGTCTCTCTCCCTCCCCCTCTGTCTCTCTCCACCTGTGTCTGATACGGCTGGATGGATCAGGCTGTGCCAACGAGCTCAAGAAGTACTTGGGTCCCCCCAACCAGCAGCGGCTGTCGTGGAAGTGCCCCGTCTGCTCATCCGACATAGCAGATGTGATCGTGCCTTACAAGTGATGCTGGTAGACAGATCGATGGACGTGATGATGAGTGTCTGCTTGTCGTCGGCTGATGCCGGTGTGTGTGCGGGACGGAATACCGACCGCAGAAGAGCATCACGCTGTGGTGGCCTGTGTACAGTACTGAATTGAACGAGACCACTGCATGGCTGGCCGCATGAATGCGTGTATGAAGCATCGTACGGTCAACCATCTACGCGACCGAGTCGCCGCTTGTTTGTTTCTGTGTGTGTGTGTGTGTGTGCGTCGGAACGCCTGACATGATCAGCGGAGATGCCAAAGACAGACAGACAGACAGACGAAATGACAGACAGATAGAGGGAGGGAGGGAGAGCCTCTGACCCTTTTAGGACCGTTTTTGCATGTCTGTGGGTCGCGTTTGAGTGAATGGCGCGGCAGAGCACTGTGTGGACACCGTGAGATGACAACCGCCACGTCTGAAGGGTTGAATTTCGCGCTGTCCGCACGCACCACACACATTCACACACATCCATTGGACAAATCTACACACGCACTCTACCCCTAGCTGAGTCTTTCTCGTACGTACCCACACCCACCCACACACATCGATGAATAGACAGGTGCACTCTTGTGTGCGCCAACAGCAGCAGCTACCTGAGGCCATGACAGACAGACAGACACCCAAACACATCCATGTACACATGCGGCTCGCCTTCCTCCTTGCTTACGTCCGGCGGCGTGAAATACGGAGTGTGTGGACCGGGTCAATGGCGATGCTCGTCCGATCACCGTCAGCCAGAGTCGTGGCTGTGACCTTGTTGATGGCGGCCACGAGCTCCTTCCTGTCTCGCATCAGGACCATGATGACCACTTTGTTCGTCGACCGCACAAACTGCTGCAGCATCGTGTCCAACTGCTCCCACGCAATGGCCTCGGCTAACTCTTGAGTAAGATACACACAAAGGGAGACAGAGACATTCTAATTCATTTCCGGATAGACTGGTCACATCTGTCTCGTTCGGCTACGGTCGTGAAGGGTGATGTCAAGGGAATCGGTGCTGGGCAGCTGGTCCTGAGCGCTCGCCCTCGCCCACTCATCCAGCCCGCCCACATTCCCCCCCGCCACGCCCGCTATCTGCACCATTCCGAGCACTGTCCCGCTGCCCATCGACTTCATCATTTGCAGGGCCTCCGACCCCTCCACGTCATCCGCCAACACACGAGACTCTGCCGCCACGCGGACCTTGGCCGCCGTCAGCAGCCGGGCGGCCGCCGCACAGCCGAACGGACCGCCCACACTCAGCTCGCTGAGTGCATTCGGAAATGCCGATGGGGCGATATGGTCGATGACCGCCCACACATGTGATGGGGGTGCGTGTGGGTCAGGGGTGGACGGGTGGCCGGCAGGGAGGGTGGGGCTGCTCTGGTGGATGGTCAGCTGAAAGGCCCTGTCGAATCGGATGCTCTCCATGAATGCCTTCTCGCATGAGAGGCTGGTCGGGTGCTCCATGAAGCTCACGTCCGGCGCCCACTCGACGTGTGTGGCGATTGAGGCGAGCTGCCGCAGCATGGCCTTCATCAGGAGGGAGGGGGCGGGGATGCGATGAAGCAGCGACATGTCGAAGCTGAGGACGCCTTCGGTCGCAAAGCTGACCGACAGCCCGGCCACGGGAAGGCCGAATGGGGGGACTGCGGCAGGGAGGAATCCTTCGATGGCCCGGAGGGTGGGCAGGGTGACCGGTGGGACCCATAAGCAAATGAAGCCAAGGTGCTGCAGCTTCAAGCAGCCCCGCGACTTGAGCGCGTCCTACAAAGACAGCGGTAAGACACAGACACCGACATGATGTCTCGGGTATCTCTCTTTGTGCTCTTTGCGCCTCACCCGAAGTCTGTCGATGTTTTCTGCATCCGCATCCCCGCCCGCCAAACCGAGGCCACGGATGTGCTGCAGACGCTCGAGCTTGGACGACCCCTCGCCGGGGAATCCCTCGATCACACCAGCTACGTCGCCAACACGAGTGCCGCCAACATCTAAGGACTGCAGGCGATCGGACGTGCCGCAGAACGCCCCAAACGACCCCTCAGCCCCCCTGAAGTGCTCGAGAGCCGGCATGCGCCACCGCCGGCTGTCGAACAGGTGACAGTGGTCCTCCGCGGCACCCTTGATGGACTTGAGTGCTAGTAGGGTGAAGGATGGGAGGAGGGTGATGGGCGAAGGAGGTGTGTGGGGGGCCGTTCGGGGAAGGGGGGCGCCCTGGACCTCGATGCGGACGAAGATGAGTTCCTCGATCCCCCCACCCTGCCCGGTCCTCCTCCTCTCCTCCACGCCGCGCGAGTGCCCCTCGATGAACGCCGACCAGCCGACCATCCACCAGTGAGGGGAGTGGGAGGGGTGCCGCACCACCACGATCTTGAGGTTGATGGCACACTTGCCGATCTCGTATGCGGCGGCGGGGGGCACCGCCTCCCACTCGTCGCGGCATCTGAAGTCGAATACTATGCGGTCGTATTGGGGGGCGGCGGCCTTGGCGAGCTGCCAGAACGAGTGCATGGTCAGCAGGTGGCCGCTGGCGTCCACGTTGCCGTACACACGATCTGCCGCCTGCACAGATACCCACACACATGCAGGGAAGGGGCAGGTGAAGATGTGGGATTCGCTGCATGGAGTTCTGTGTGCAGTGGTGTGTGCGCACCGGTGGCTCGGAGGGTGGCTGTCTGCCGCTGAGGTTGACGAGCCGGTACGACGGTGCTCGGCCATCCTGGCACACCACACACATGCACACACTCGTGGACAAGGGACGTGTCAGCTGTCTTGTTTTGGTCAGACACATACCTGCTGAGCACTGGACAGCATGTCGTTCGTCAGCTCCAACAGCGACGCGTGTGAAGCCTTGACGTCATCAGCCGCACGACGAAGGCGCCCACTGAAGGTCGTAGAAGCACTGCCATCATCGTGCGCCTGCATGAACGCAGAAACGACAAGGAAAATGTCACGTAGTATGTCAATGGCAGCGATGTGTGTATGTGTGTACCGATGGGGCGCTCAGCTTGCGATCTTGTTCTATGAGTCGATCCAGAAGGCTCCCACACTGGTAGATCTGCAGCCACGAAAGAGAGAAAGACGCAATATCAATATTGTTGGCCTGGATACGATGCATCATGGTCTTGGTGTGTGTGTCGCGGTCACCTCACCTATGCCAAATGTTTCCTGAGTAACCCGGCTACCTCCCCGGCCTCACCTCCAGCCATCAGCGGACCACCCACATCACCTTCAGGCGCCACCAGCCGTCCCCCTTGGCCGACAGTTGCCCTTGCTGCAACTTCCTTTCGGCTGCAGCGCTGTGTCTGCTGCCATCCCACTCAGTCCGAACATGCCGAGATTCTGCGGCGAGAAGGGGGGGCGGTTGGCGAGGCCGAGTTGCGCATTCGAGGCCATCTGATTGGCGTAGATCGGGTGTGGATGGATGCGCGCAGCGGAGGGAGGGAGGAGAGGAGCCGAAGGTATGTGCGATGGGACGCCGAGGTGCAGGTGGGGCAGGTGAGGGGGAGGGCAGGGAGGGCGGCCATACACGAATGGTCCGAGAGGGACTCTGGGAGCGAGGAACGCTGGAAGACGTGCTGACACAACAACAAGAGCCAGAGCCGGTTGGATGATGCCTCCATCCATTCATTGTGTGCCATCGTTGTGTGTGTGGTCGTTCTTGCTTACGCATCGGAGCGTTGTGTTGTGTGTTGGGTGCGTTGTGTGACGACAACCCCACATCAGAGTCATCTCGGAACCGCATGTGGCCGCCTAGCACGCCGCCGCGCTCCAGCTGCTGGCCACCAGCAGGGATGCGCTACACCTCCTCTCAACGAACCATCACGGTGAGCTGACCTGACCTGACCACATAGACACAGCACAGCAGCCACAAACGCGATGGCTCCCCAGGCGGGCACTCCGTTTACACAAGCGAAACCCTTTGACCCGAAACCCTGCTGCTCTGACTCATTGCTTCATTCCACCTTCCACCCTGCACCGTTCGAAAGGGCATCAGCGAGGGGCGGCTGACTGATCCAGTAGCTCAACTTGTGTGTCGGCATTGGAGGATCACCGTAATGCATCGGAGGACGGCATGGCGGCGTCGGGTGAGGCGGCCGGTGCGGTCATAGCTGCTGCTACCATCAGCGAGGTACACACAGACAGCCAACAAGCCCAACCGCACACACGTGATGCTCTGCGCGTTTGCTCACGTCACACACGGCTTTCCTGTTTGCAGTGTTCTTGCGTGCGGTTCTGTGATTCTGGTCTCAGCTGCGTGCCGAGGCGGATGCATTGCGCGAAAGGATTCGGCTGCTGCAGGACAAAGTCATGGTGAGTGAGTGCATGTGAGACGTGCTCGGCACTAAAGGACAGAAGAACGTCTTCTGCCCGTCCTTAACATTGCTGCAGCTAAGTTGTGGTGCGAGTCACTGCGACGGCAGTGCTTCTGGTGATGCCCTGCCGTCCCTCACAGCAGCGTCCGTCCACGCCTCCGCTGCAGAGTCTGCCTTGCGTGAGATGGTCGGAGCCCTCACCACCACAGCACCGGCCGCTTCACACGGCCCACAACACACGAACGACGCCGGCTCATCCGCTGCTGCTGCTGCTGCTGCGAATGGTGGTGGTGGTGATGGTGGTGGTGAGATGGATGTTGACGACGCATCGCCAGAAGAACCCATCGCTCAGGTGCACAAGCACATTGACAATGAGTTGAAGAGAGAGCGGTGAAGACCGTTCTTTGTCTTCGGTGTTGTCTTTCGGTTTCACTCAGGCGGCCGTAGCTGATTCCGATTTGAGTGCCGCTGCCCCACCGCAGCCGCGGTATCGAATCACCTCTAGATCAGGACAACAGCCACCCAACCAGCCGCCGGTGAGAACACAAAGCCAACGACCCGCCACCTCTGCACACCGAATCGTATCTGTCTGTGTCGATGTGTCTGTCTGTGTCTAATCCGCAGGCCCGACTCCGTCTCTCTGCCGACGAGCTCGCCAGTGTGTTCGCCTTCACTCACCCCTGGGAGCTGACGCGTCGTCGCCGCATCCTCGGCAAGACCATCTTCACCGAGGCGGCCGCCAACTACACACACCTCACCATCGATGCGTCGAAGAAGGGCGGCGTGCGCCGTCTGTGGGAGAGGATGCCCCTCAGAACAGCCTACAAGTGGGGGCAGCGCGCGACCAACATCACACACCTACACGCCATCCTGCCCCGCGAGTACGCCGCATTGGGCACCGTGCGCTGCTGGTGACGTGGCACGTGGGTGTCAATCATCGAGGGCAACGCAGCGGCGCGCGAGGCCACAACGCCGGCGCATAAGAGGCCCGCTTCGTCCATCAAAGTCATCAGCTTCAACGACGACAGGGACGGAGCTTTCGACCCACCGACTCGCGTGTCGGCGGACCCGCTGCCCGCCTCCCCCTCGCCCATCGACCTGTCGCAGCTGGAGGAGGTGCACAACATGCCGTGGCGGTATGCGGCCGTCCGCACCGGCGGGCGGGTGTGGCACACGCCGCATCTGCGGGTGCTGACGTTCGGGTGGATTTACAGGGATGGAGACCTGCACCTAGACCTGCACAGACTGGAGGGGACGTCCAGATGGGTGGAGACCTGCGGCCGCCTAGAGAAGCTCGACGAGGACACCACTTCCGTGAGCGACAAGCAAGGCCTGTTGTCCAAGGCCCCTTCCCTGCCCAGCCTCCAGTCCATCGGCCACATTGATTTGCGAGGAGCTAGCAGCGGGACGGTGGCAGCGCTGCGTGAGACCCTCGTCAGTCGGGGCTGCCGCAAACACCTTCGCGACCTGCACTTTTGGGCTCCATACATTGATCGTGCAGACAGTCTCACCAAGGAGGTGCTGCTTGAGGTGGGGTCACTGGTGGAGGCGGTGATGCAGCCACAGGCCCTCGAGCAGCTGACGGTCACCAAGCCCTGCGGCGAGTGTCACATGGACCTAGCGCTGATCGGGTGGATGGTCGACAAGTCGCGGCAGGTGCGTCTGGTGACCACCGACAGAGCGCAGCACCGGGTCATGGCGTGGTCGTGGCTGTCTGTCTGTCATCAGGTTCAAGACATCGTGCGCAAGCTCGCCGCCATAGCTGACGTGGTGTGGTACAATGGTGGACAGCTGACGTCAACCAACGGAGTTGCAGACCCCAACATCTTCCCCCGCGTCCGCACATTCGCATGCGACCCCAGCCAAATTGACGCCAGGGCTCCCCTCTCCCAGGACACCCTCGACTGCCTCGCCCAGGCCGTCGCCAAGCAGATGCCCAAATGCCGCCATTTCCGCTTCCGTGCTCTTGATGATGCGCCATTCAGTGTGGCCGTCTCATTCCTCGAGGCGTTGCAGGGCCAGCTGGGCGGGGGCGAGGGGGGCGGTGAGGGGGAGACGGTGTTCGAATCAGTGACGATTACTACGTCGGTGTCGAGAATCGTCGAGCACAGCCGGCATCTGTTGCAAGAGTGGGCGACCCACGACCTGCCGACCATCAAGGAGGTCACTGTCCATGTGATCGGTAGGGGACATACACACACGAGACTGGGGGAGTGGAAGACCCTGCCTGCCTGCCTGCCTGCCTGTCTGCCTGGTGTGATGTGCAATTTCTAGGCTACCTGCCTCCTGGTGTGGCTGTCGACGACTTCTTCGGACGGCTCTTGGGGATGCTTGTGGCCATCATCCGCAGCCCCGCCGTGCCCAAGGCCGCCGTCATGTGGCCTCAGGTCGTCATCCAAACCCCCGGTCTCCGCCCGGTGGCCGTCAGCCCATCTCGGTCGTTGAGGGATGAGCTGGAGTCGCAGTTTCGTGGTGGGAGTGTGGTGGTCACCAGCCTGCTCAGCGACGCCCCCTACACCAAACGCAGACGACACATACGTCAACATATCGGCCTGAGCATCGAGACACGCACATAGGTACCAACATGCCGCACTCAGCTGGTCAGCACGTGGCGGAGAGACCCGCCTTTTGTCAATGTGTGCGGCGTCAGGTCGGCGTATCGATGTCACATAGCTGGCCTGCTCTGCCGGCAGCGGTGTGGAGGAAGCACACACGCACACACACACTTGCTGTAAGTAGAATAGCTGATTGCAATCGGCTAACTGACTGGTGGGTGGGCGTCTGGTGGGCCGGAGTGCATGTGTGTGGAGCCGATCACTCTGGCTGGCCACACTGACTTTCAGCATGGCTGTCTACATATCGCTGTGGTAGACGGGATGGATAGCCATGCTGAACGAATGGAAGTGATATGTAGAGGAACGAAAGGAAGGTTAATGACGTGGCATTGCATGTGTGTCAAAGGAAGAACACCTTCGAGGCTCAGTTTGGAGACTCTCGGATGCAGCCATGATTGAACGCATATTGCAAATGCATCGAATCTTATCGGTCTCTCCGATCATTCTCTCATCATCTCACGATTTGTCTCCCCGCCAAAGTCGACTTGTGTGAGACGGCCGCACATGTGTGTCGTCTCCCAGAGGTCAACCCCGCGAAGGAGACAAGCCATGACATGGGAGACGCTGAGACCTCATCATACCAACCCCCTCATGTAGTGTTCCGTATGTACACAATGGACAATCCGACAGACAGATACATACCCAATGTAGTCTGATCAAGACGGGAGCCATCCCACCCGTCCGCCTCTCTGCCCTCCGCATCGTGAAGGCGACGCTGAAGGCGTAGGGAAGGGAGGAAGGCATCGCCTTTCCTGCCCTCCATCACCCATTCAGCCTCAGCTGCACGATGCGGTCGAGAGTGCCGTCTTCGAATTGCAGCGCCTTGAAGCTTCGCTGCAGCAGCTGCACACACACACACAGGCACAGGAAGAGGGCACACGGTGTGGTTGCCGCAGTCATCACAGTGCACCAGGACTTGTGCTGTCCTTACCAGTATTTCAGCGTCGCTGAGGTACACAGTAGGGATGCGTTTGGCCAGCAGCTCCAGCAGCCGGTCATGCTTGTACCCAAACCTGCAATCACGACACACATACGAGAGCACGTATCAACGTCTGAGCCGTCCGTCCTATTCCCCGCTGTACGCCCGTCTGACCGTGCATATGACGCGGCTATCTTGGCGATGAGCCTGCCGGCGAAGCGCTCCCTCCCCTCCAGCGCGTCACAGATGGGCGGAGCCGCGAACTGGAAACACTCCTGGATGGAACCGAATGACCGCATCAAGAAGGCCGTGTGATGCGTCTGTCTGTCTGTCTGTCTGTGTGTGAATGCTTCTCTCACCTGATGCGGCACCCCTGCCTTTGCGAGAGCGCCCACCAAATGCACCCACGATAAGACCTGCTGTGGCGGCCGCCCCTCGTCCGCCTGCTGACACACCCGGTCAGCCACCGTCATCAACAAGCCCACCGTCGACCCTTCCATGGCCGCGTAGCTCAGCGCAACTAAAGCCAGGTCCTCACCCGAGAACTCGTGCAGCCGGTCGGTGACGATGCGCTCGCACTCGCTGAGCAGCGCCGGCTCGGAGATGCCCATCCGCTTGAAGGCATTCATGATGAGGGCGAGGTCGCGCGGACTCATCAGCCGCCTCTCACGGCCGATGGCGACTGTCCGGCTGGCCAGACCCCGCCACAGCTCGGCATTGTGCAGCTTGCAGGCGACGAATTTGAGAGCCAGGTGTCGGAGCTCAGTGCCGCCCATGCGGTCGAAAGGCCGCCGCCGCTGGAAAGACGGGGAGAATCGGAGAGTGCGGAGAGGGCGGACATGGATGCAGGCGGCAGCTGACGAGGGAGGGAGAGGGGAGTCAGAGGGTGCCGAAAGAGGAGGCGGAGGGCGATTCCGCGTGAGTCGGATGGGTTGCATCTTCTCATGCAGCCTGCATTACATCAGATCTCTTCTCCGTCATCACGAGGCGAGGACCCATGAATGGTTTGGGCTAGAGCGCCTTTGAGCTATCAGCATTTACAAGGACGAGGCTAAAATCTGTGCCAGTGGCCCAGCGCGATCACTGCCCGCCTGGCTCGCCCGCGCCTGCCCCGGCATCCCCCCTCTGACACTTTGCGCACAGACCGCCGCCACTGCCGGTCTTATTTGAGAAGGATCTACAAGATGACCGCTCGGATCTGCGCTCTTGTCTGCCTCGCGGCAGCAACAGCATCAGCTGCAGTCAGCCGCGATGCGCCATCGGCCTTCCAGTTCACCTTCCGCCCTCTCGCCAGCCGCGTGGCCAAAAACCTCCGCCACACCCTGCCGAGGCATTTCGCCATCCAGGAGGCCGCCACTGCTGAGAAGACCAGCACTGGTTTCCTTGACAGGATCTTCACCAAGAGCGGCAGCGGCGTGACTGAAGACGAGGCGGCGGCCATTGAGGCTGAGGTGGGGATGCCGCATCCCGGTGAGACCCCTTATAAGGGCTTCGTCTCGCCAGTTGAGGTCAAGACCGTCCGCGACGAATGGGTCGCTGCAGGTGGGTGGAGGGAGGGAGGGCGTCCGTGTGTGCATGCATGCAACCGAGTGATCGGGGAATGCGTCCGAGCAAGTGTGTGGGTGGTGCTCACTGCTGATCACATCCATGAGCGCTTGTTGTCTCATTTCCTGTCTCACTTTCTGTCTTGCCATGTGTTGTGTCGTGATTGTGTTGCGATCAGTTGAGTCGCTCGATCCCGAGAAGATCGTCGCTCTGTACTCGGCTGATGCCGCTCTCCCGGGAGCGCTCCTTGGTAGGACACCAGCGACACACCCATTCGTCCATGCCAATTCATTCACTTGATGCTGGGCATGCGTGCAGGTACCGTTGATACCGTCGAGATCGGCGCCCGTCAGTGCCGCACATCGATCCTCGAGTACTTCAAGGTCTTCTGCAATAAGGCAGCGGTAGGTGATCTACTACGCACACAGCGGAATGGTGCATCCCTCCCTCTATGCCTCTGTGTGTGGTGGGCCTGGTGTGGTGCAGATCAAGCCCGCCTTCCCCCCTGAGGTGACGATGGACGACCTCATCCAGCTGGACAAGGGTCGGTTTGGCAATGAGAAGACAAACACGCCTCAGGACAGGTCATTTGTTTCTGTCTGTCTGTCGTGTCGGTGCTCACGTTGGCCCAGGCTCCGTCGCCTACAACGGTTAGCAGATTGACAGACAGATGGCTCGAAACAAATCAATGCACATGGTGGTTTCCCTGGTGCTCTATTTGTGTGTGAAGGTTATTATGACTTCTATTTCACCGAGAAGGATGGCCGTCAGCTCAAGGCCCACGCCAAGTTCACTTATGTGTACCGTCGCAACCCCCAGACCGGCAAGCTCGAGATCGCCCTGCACAACTCTGGTGGGCATCATCAAAACACACGACGACACACTCATTCCACTCGCCCAGACACACCATGCCCATTGCGGCTGTTCTCGTGATGTCAGGTCTGACGCCCCAGGGCCTGGTTGAGCTGGAGTCGCCCGAGAAGCCCATCACGCCTGCCGAGGTGAAGGAGGCGCGTGACGCATGGATCGCCGCGGTGCGGACTCTGGACCCCGACACAGTGGTGGCTCAGTACTCGGCCGACGCCAGCCTCCCCGGCAACCTCCTCGGCACCGTCGACACCATGGAGACCAAGAGACGCCAGTCGCCCTCGACCATCAGGGAGTACTTCGTCGGATTCCTCAACAAGGAGAAGGTGCGTCCGGAGGGACCGTCGACACACGAGCCAACATGTAATGTTCTTTCCTCTGCCTCTGTGTGCAGATCAAGCCTGCCTTCCCTCCCGAGGTGACTCAGGCGGACATCATCCCTGTGGGCCCCGGCATGGTCGCCTACAACGGCTACTACGATTTCTACTTCTGGTCAGTCAGTACCTAAGAAGCACAGGACAGACATGTGCAGCGACGTACAGCGATGACCTTGATTGCTGTGTCCTGTTTGTTTGTGTGCAGGGAGCACGACGGCCGCCACCTCAAGGCCCACGCCAAGTTCACCTACATCTACAGACGCAACCCTGAGACCGGCAAGCTCGAGATCGTCCTCCACAACTCGGGTATGGCGACACACACACACACACACACCGCCTCCTGACCCATGTGTGTACCGATTGTTGCTTTGTCGCGTGTGTGGCCTGCTCAGGTCTGACGCCCCAGGGCGTGATCGAGCTGCCCCGCCCCGAGAAGGTGTCGATCAAGGAGGTCGAGACGGCCAGGGACAACTGGGTGGCCGCAGTCAAGTCGCTCAACCCCGAGAAGGTCGCCTCCCTCTACTCGGCCGACGCCACGCTCCCCGGCGCCCTCCTCGGTGAGTGAGCCGCCGTGTAGACAAACGTGTACTATCGCTCGGCGTGTATGTGTGTGGTTGGTTGTGTCAGGCACCGTTGACACAATGGCCACTGGTGCGCGCAAGTCTGGTGAGACGATCCTGGACTACTTCAAGAGCTTCCTTGACAAGGAGAAGATCCAGCCCTGCTTCCCCGAAGCCATCTCTGACGACGACCTCATCCAGCTCGACAACGGAATGGTCGCTTACAACGGTGAGAGAGCAAACCGCACATCGACGGGCAGACAGAAGAGCCTTCGGTCCATGTGTGTGCTCTGTTTTTCTGTCTGTGTGTGTCAGGCTACTACGAGTTCCTCTTCTGGAACAAGGATGCCTCGCACACCAAGGCGCACGCCAAGTTCACGTACGTCTTCAAGCGCAACCCCGCCAAGAACAACCAGCTCGAGATCGTCCTCCACAACTCGGGCCTCACACCCGAGGGCGTCATCGAGCTCCCCTCGCCCAACAAGGTCTCTGCCGCCGAGGTCGAGACCGCCAGGGACCAGTGGATCGCCGCCGGTGAGCGACATGACCAACTAAGACGTGAACGGCTCGCTCATCTCCTTCTCTCTCTCTCTCTCTCTCTGTGTGTGTATGTGTGTGTGTGTGTGTGTGTTCAGTTCAATCACTGAATCCCGACACAGTGGTGGGTCTTTACAGCAACGACGCGTCTCTCCCCGGCAACCTGCTCGGCACTGTCGACACGGGCAGCATCGGCGCGCGCCAGACCGGCGAGACCATCCTCGACTACTTCAAGAGCTTCCTCGACAGGAAACAGGTCACCCAGACAGACACGCCAGACACACTGACTGACACGCACCGGCAGACACAGAGACAGACACATGGTTGATGGCGGCTCGAACATTTCTCCCGCTGCGTGTGTGCATCAATCAATCAATCAGATCAAGCCGGAGTTCCCGCCCAAGGTGACCGATGAGGACCTGATCCAGCTGGGCAACGGCAAGGTGGCGTACAACGGCTACTACGACTTTCTCTTCTGGGAGAAGGACGGCAGCGAGAAGAGGGCCCACGCCAAGTTCACCTACCTCTACAGGCGGAACCCCGAGTCAGGCAAACTCGAAATCGTCCTCCACAACTCGGGTATGTGCGTATGTCAGACACAAAGAAACACTTACCCATTCCATGATGCTTTCGTGCATCGTTAATGTGTCTCGTGTCTCTGTGTGGTGCTAGGTCTGACGCCCGAGGGTGTTGTGATGCTCAAGGAGCCGACTGTCCAGACGTCTTAAGTGAGGACGACGCAGGGCGCAGTGTAGTCACTAGGGAGGTCTTCGCGAATGCGATCGACCTCCTGGTGCGTGGATGCTGTGCTGTGCTGCCTGTCTCGGTTGTCAATGTTCCGTTTGCCTCCTTTATTCGGACTGCCTGGGCCTTTCATGCATCCGGCCGGCGTCTCTTTCCTTTTCGCCCGCCCACCTGCCCACACGAGACGAATTGGTGCGTGCGGCAGCGAGAAAAGCCGCTGCTTGTGCCGCATGCTGCCCGCCCTCTCCCACACACATACTTACATCCAGACTGACTCCACTTTGACTCGCTCTGTGCCTGCCTGCCTGCCTGCCTGCTTGAATGCATGATGACGCTTTATTCGAGAGGGTGGGGTTGAGATTGGGGCACATCTGCTGTCGACGTGACGTACACGGGGGACACATGGGCGAGTTTAGTCGACACACAAATGAGTGGCTGGATGATGGATGACACGTGGTGCAGGAGCCCACACGATGTGGTGAACGTTTTGGATATTGGACAATCATTGAGTTTTTCACTTTTTACTTCCGGTTCTTGTTTGCGCCACGCGTCCTTGTCTTTAATTGCTTCTCCTGACGCTGTGAGCACGTTGGCCGAAACCATCGTGCGAGCGTCGTCTGGGGCGGGCAGCCTGTGACAGGGCGCGTGACGCAGGTAGGATGCTGGTCCACTCAACCGCCTTTTCTTTCCTGGCGCCATGACAACCTATCTCTGTCCTTTCAAGTGATTCGCCTGTGGCCGCATCTGTCCCACGTGGAGCAGCATCCTGTTCACACGGTGTACACGCCGGAGGGGCAGGATGCTGGCTGATGAGTGAATGATGAGGTCGCGGGATGGATTGCTGCCATGAAGGGATCCGTCAGGGGTGTGTATTCTCTCGCCTTGCCGTCCACACACGCATACGAGATCGCTGCTCTTTATGAGCCCTCTTCATGCAGACACTGACCGCAATGCCCCACATGGCTCTTTATCCACCCAGACATGCCTTTTATTGCACACAAACTTCTACACGAGTGCCTGCATGCCCTATGGGTGCGAGAGAGGGGAGGGAGAGGGGAGAGAGAGAGAGAGGGGAGAGATGTGGAGGGGCGTTCTGTATAGCTCATCTGTATCGTGTGTGGTGTGTCTGTGTGAGGGATCAATTTGTCTTGACCTCCGTGGACCGACGTGCGTGTGCATGGGGGTATCGGCCGGGGGTTCCTTTCTGCTGTCTCTGCTGTGAGGGTGCATTCATGCTGGCTGCCGGCCGGCGTCCCATCTGTCTACTGTGACTGACTTTTTCAGCCGCCGTCGATCAACTCGGACGGCTGAGGCTTCACAGAGCAGAGTGGACACGCCGGCAGCCAGCCTGTCGTGCACCCATCCAAGGAGGAAAGAGGACCTCGCGCGTGGCGTGACTTGTTCGTCTCGGCCTTTTTGAGTTTTTGGCGGCGGGTTGTCCGCCGGCATTGCTACCACAGGCAAAGGCGAGCAAGCCGACAGGACGATAGTCTCTTTTTCGTGTGCGTGCACGGACAGGCGATGCGATGAATAAATGAATTGATTAGTCAATCCAGCCGCTCCCTCGAATGATAGTGGGGCAGAAAGCCACAGGAAAGGCTTTCACTCCCGCATCATCTAGTGGACAGCTTCAAACCGAAGTAGTTATGAGTAGTTATGAATTGATCTGACGAAGCGAAACGCCAGTGCGTCGCCCGGTCGCTCGCTCGAATGCTCTGAGTGATGGAAAGGCCTGTCGGCGGCACCGTTCGCGAGCTGTGGGTCAACAGGCGCGATTGGTGCCTCCCGAGTTTTCAGCAAACTGTCCGCTTGACGTGCCAGGCACTGCCAAGATACTGTCGATCACACCATCTCCAGCGTCCCCGTTGGACTCAAAGCCCAGACTCTGCACCGACCAACGAGGTGCGAGGAGTGAAGGCAGGAGGTCTGCGCCGTGGGGTCTGCGGGCATTGGTGCGACACTGTGTGTTGTTCTGTGTGCTTTGCACGACATCTTACCCGTGGGCTTGCCTTCCTTCATCACGGCGCGGGTAGTGACGGCAAGGAAGACTGACTCGATGCATCACACACACAATAAGGTGCGAATGGATGCACAGAGACCGAGAGAGTGTGAAGGGAGAACCGATGCATGTCTGCGTGTGTGTGACGATGCATGCAGCTCAGGATGATGGGGTGAGGTCGACCCATGGCGGCAGATGGGCAAGGTCAGCAGCCTGATGGCGGTCTGCGGCTCGAGGACGTCGACACACTGCTGGATGACGGCAGCAGCAATGCAACCATCTGGCTGGCCAGGGGCGTCATTCAGCGGACCCTCACTCGAAAGCAGCAGGTCACACAGCTCATACGCGATGGCGCTGACCCAAATAGTCTGCCACGGCTCCGTGTGCGGGGCAGCGGCTCTCCTGGGCTTCGGTATCGACTGCTCACTCTTGCTATCGACAACCTGAGTGACGGCGCCATGCCGACAATCTTTGCCCGAGACTCCCATGTTTTCCCGGGTTCACTCGCATTGCCTCAGTGGTCGTCACGCGAGTTGGAGGCAGACATCATCAACGCCCTGATCGACGGAGGCGCCCACTTGGATGCGGACCGCCCGCTGGGCCACTGGGACGAGTGGCCCATCAGGATGGCAGTCTGTGGGGGCAACGACAGTGCTGTGGGGGTCCTTCTGGCGCGCGGTGCTGCGGTGCGCCAAGCGGTGCGCAGTCGTCATGGCCGTCCCCTGAACGACCCTCTCCTTGTCATGCGGCTGCCACTGCCGATCGCCGGCCGATTGGGCCATCAGGTGCCCGCCGCCTATGAGGGGCGGCTGCTGGCGATCTATCGGCGGCTCATCCAGCGCGACGCCACACTCGCAACCGAACGAGACATAGGTGGCCGGAATCTGATCCACTTGGCACTTTTCGACGAGCGGAGCCGCTTCTCGCAGCGCTTCTCGCAGCGCTTCGTCGATTCATATCTGGACCTACTGGTGGAGAACGGCGCCGACCTGACGGCACTGACCCCCTTGGCATTGACGCCTCTGCACTGGGCGGCAGCTGCCAGTGCTCTCTTTGTGGCGGACTACCTGTGCCGCCATGTTCCACCAGCGGACATCAACAGAGGCACGACGGGCAATCCGAACGTGACGCCGCTCGTCTGGGTTGCCAGCAGTCTCAATGAAGTGACTGAGGTTTCGCAGGACACCAACAGGCCGCCACAAGACAGGGACCGAGCCATTAGGAGGATTCCCCTTTGCGAGGCGTTCATCCGCAGCTTGCTGCGAGGTGGGGCAGACATCGGCCGGATCCCCACAGACAGCGATAGGCACCGCTGTCGTCGCCAGTTGGTGCTGCCCCAGTGCACGAGAATGCTCAACAGCGACGTGCACACGGGGGCGATGGCGGCTGTGAATGCGGCCCTCGCCCCTCAGCGGTCGCTGGCTGCCTTCCTGATGAGGTCCCTCCCCACCCTCCTGCCCCACCTGCTGCAGCCCCCCGGCACATCTCTGGCCAATCCACCCGCCGCCCCCCTCCCCGCCGCCGCTGGATACGGCCCACACGAGGCAGAGGCCATCGGCTGGCGCATCGCAGCCATGTGCTTCGACCAACACGCCGCCAACGAGACCATCACTGCCACCCTGACCATTCGCAACAGCGACCTTGCCCGCCGTGTGCAAGCTGCTGCTGAGCACTTCGTCAAGTCAGCGGTGTTTGCGGCCAGCAGCAACAGGGAGGTGGTGGGCGGCACGGCCGATGTGGGCGGCGTGACGGTGCGGGTGCCGCTGCAGTGCTTCGCCATCAGGGCCGAGAGCCGCCCACACCAGGTGGTGCACACCCATGGCCGTCTGGGTGTGCGTGAGGTGATCCACAGGGCCCGGCTGGACGAGGCGGCCCGACACGGCATTGAGGAGGGGGCCATCAACAAGGGCTTCAACGAGCATTTGGGCAATACCGATTGCCAGTTCGGTGGGTGGCAGCAGCTGGGCCGCATAGACGAATGGGGGCAGTGGGTGACACTCAGCATCAACTGAGAGGGAGGGGGGAGGGAGGGCTGTGGGGTGGATGGGGGGCGTGTTAAGCCACTGAGTGTTGCCGTGTGCTGTTGGCAGCAGCCGGGATGGTGGGGGGCACTTCAAGCTGCTGAGTGTTGTCGTGCAGCAGCTGAGTGCTGTCATTATGGACCAGAGAGGGATAGATGGATGCACGGTTTTTCTGTGTGGGCTGCACGGTGTTGGTGACCATTTTGGCAAAGTTTGGTTTTGCCTTACTGTGTGATGGACATTCATTCAAGTCTTTTGATTCGACTTACTGCGTGAATGGATCATCCTTCCATAAATTCCCCGACAGTGGTCTTCTGGCGTGCACCTTCTCTCGACTTGGCTTCCTCTCGCTGACGCACCGCCCCCAGTCTCTCTCTCTCCCCGCCTCTGTCTGTCTGCCAGTGTCAGGTACGATGGTGTCTAGCTCTTCCCACCGCCGCCCTGCCCGTCCGAGTGTGCCGATGCATGCACATCGTCATACCCACAGTGCAACAGGTGGGTGCGGGGAGTGTGAGGGATGGTGAAGCGTCCTGGCTGGCTGCTATGGGTGTGTGTGGATTTCTGCGTGCAGGTGCGGACGTCTATTGAGGGCTGGGCGGCAGGCAGTGTGCCTGCAGTTCCATCCCGCTCCCCAGCAAAAACCTCAAGCCATTCCTGCAGCCGATGCTGCACAAGTGGGGCACCACACCAACACTTCCAGGGTGGGGGCATCGTTGACGTCGCCCTCTCCCTCCGTCTCCCTCGAACGCCATGCCGCACATCAAAACATTCCTCAATGAGACGTGTACATTTGTGTGTCCAATTCTGTTGGTCTGGCCGGCCAATGTGGAGTGAGTGGGCTATCCTATGCATTCCACCTGCCATTTTGGCTGTCGTGTTTCCACGCTGAGGGACGGGGATGGTGTGCATTCTCCGGCTTCTCGTACACACTCGTACGTGTGTGCCCGGAACCCACACACACCGAGCACTAACACCCACACACATGCACACACCAGCTGTCCTACCAAAGAAGGGGTGAATGTACGTGACACATGTCTGCACAGAACTTGCCAGGCGTCGTGGATGACTCAACGAAAACGCTGCTTGTTGATGCTATTTGGTGCATTTCCTGCAAGTCAAAAGCAACGGCAATGACACACACGCTTGCAATGGATTCAATCCTTTGGAAGGGCCCCATGTTTCCCGGCAGGACCCAAGGATCTGCGAGCTAACGAAAGGAAAAGCTGTTCTTGACTCACAAGAGCGTCTCCGGTGCGCCGGGGTTAGCAACAGGGCCACACACTAAGCAAGAAGCCAGGGCTGTGAATGGTTCCCTGTGGAGTGGCCTTTCAGAGATTGGCAAGGTTTGGCACTCATCTCGGGCCTCTCCAGAACCACACCAGATCTCTCTCCTCTTCGCGTGAGCAAGAAGCAGTCACACACTCACATTCAGCAGCAGAACGCGCATCTCGTTCGTCTGTTGGTGTGTGGTTGGCAGCCTTGAGGATGTCGGAGCACTTCGATTTCTTCGTCATAGGTGGCGGTTCTGGGGGCATCGCGGCAGCCAGGCGGGCGGCGGGCTATGGCGCCAAGGTTGGCGTGGCCGAGTACAGCCGGTGGGGCGGCACGTGTGTCAATGTGGGCTGCGTGCCCAAGAAGGTCATGTTCAACACGGCCATGATCTCCGAGATGATGCATGAGGCCCACCACTTCGGCTACGACATCGACACGAGCCGCGTCAAGTTCGACTGGAAGACCATCAAGCACAAGAGGGACGCCTACGTCAAGAAGCTCAACACCATCTACGACACAAACCTCGAGAAAAGCGCCATCACCAAATACATCGGCAAAGGTGCGCCAAGGAGACCAGACATCCATGGCTCACTGTGACTCCTTGTCTGTCTGTGGATGGCAGCGTCCTTCACCGGTCCCAAGAGTCTGCGTATCGAGCGCGCCACCGACGCCGGCGGCCCCCTGGAGGTCACCGCCTCCCACGTCCTCGTAGCCACGGGGGGGTACCCACAGCCATTCGGGCTGCCGGGTGAGGAGTACACAATCAGCTCTGACGGCTTCTTCGAGCTGGAGGACCAGCCCAAGAAGGTCGCCGTCATCGGCGCTGGTCAGGGAGGGAGGGAGGGAGGGCGGGAGGGATGGGAGCGGAGGGGAAAGTGCCTCACTGGTCGGTCGTGTGTGTGTATGGCTAGGCTACATCGCTGTGGAGTTGGCGGGCATCTTCAACGCCCTGGGCAGCGAGACGCATCTGTTCACACGAGGTGAGATGCATAAGTGAGTGTCCAGGGGTCCCTCACGCACATGGTCGGTCCATCGGGTATGTATGTCGGTCCATCGGGTATGTATGTCTGCATCTGTCTGTGTGCAGGCGACACTGCTCTTCGCCGTTTTGATGACATGCTCAAGACCGTCCTCACCGCCGAGATGAAGAGGGCCGGCATGCACCTCCACCCTGGTCAGCAACCATTCAAGCGACAGAGAGAGGGAGATTGATCACTCTTGTGTCGTTCGTTTTGTTTGTGTGCCAGGTTCGACCCCCGCTGGTCTCAAGAAGGAAGCCGATGGGTCCCTCACCCTGTCCCTCCAGAACGGTCAGTCTCACGGCGGCTTCGACACCGTGCTGGTGGCGACGGGCCGGATGCCGTGCGTCGACTCACTCAACCTGCCGGCTGCGGGCGTCAAACAGGTGCTGGCCGGCTGGCACATGGAATAGAGTTTCAAGTGCGCGTGCGCTGTTTGTTCATGCAGGCGCCCAAGAAGGGCTACATCGAGGCCGATGAGTACCAGAACACCAATGTGGAGGGCATCTACGCGCTGGGCGACGTCTGCGGCAAGGTGAGAGCAACACAGACACACATACACACACCCATTCAACGCATGGCGTGTCATGTGTCGATCTCCTCCCAACCACCACTCAGGTCGAGTTGACCCCGATGGCCATCGCGGCGGGCCGCCGGCTGGCCGACCGTCTCTTCGGAGGCATGAATGACGCCAAGGTCTCGTACGACCTCGTCCCCACCGTCATCTTCTCACACCCTACCATCGGTAGACAGACACCCACACAGAGCGATGGATGGATGGATGGATCGATGCTCGCTTCTTGTGCTCTGCAGGCACGATTGGCCCCACTGAGGAAGAGTGCAAGAAGAAATACGGGGAGGACAACATCAAGGTGAGCGACTGACGTCAACGTCACGCCACGCACGGGAGAAGACATTCCATTCATCCCCACGCAATGCACAAGCTAGCTGCATTTGGGCTGGCTGCAGGTGTACAAGGCGACGTTCCCCAATCTGTATTACGGCCCCTGGACGGTCGCCCCCGAGGAGAAGCCCAAGACGGCCATGAAGCTCGTGTGCCTGCTGCCCGAGGAGAAAATCATCGCACTCCACGTCATCGGTAAGACTGGAAGAGGCAGCCGACACGCTCACACCTTCACCTTGACCTTCACACCTTGGCGTGTTTCGTTTGCCCTGTGCGTGTTTGTCAGGAATGGGGGCTGACGAAATGCTCCAGGGGTTCGGCATTGCCCTCAAAATGGTACGGTAGACACAGTCACAGTCTCGCCTGCAAACAAACAGCGCCGGGACCTGCTGCTGCTGCTGTGTGTGTTGACTGACTGATGTGTTGCCACACACATGCAATCAGGGTGCGACCAAGGCCGATTTTGACAGCTGTGTGGCGATTCATCCGACGGCGTCTGAGGAATTCGTCACGATGGCTCCATGGGGAATGGCACCGCAGAGGCGCGGCGCGTAGACAGACGCTGACTGACCGACGACAGGGGGAGGGAGGGAGGGAGGGAGGGGTGCACATATAGTCTTTTTCGTCCCTATTGCTCCGCCTGATTGGCTTTTGTTTCCGCCCCCGCCGTATGCGTGCCTTTCTCATGCATCAAGGGCCCGTGGGGCGTCTCGCTTGTGGATGAATGGATGGATGGACACGAGGATGAGTGCGACAATTTTGGCTGACGTCTTTTGGCGCGTTAACAGAGTCTTTACCCGGTAAATTGATGACGTGCGTGCAATGCAAATGCCCCCATCCATCCGTTCACTATTCACAAAGCCCCTTCACCCACCCATTTATCCATCATAGAAAACACAAAGCATGATATCTATCCTCGTATCTGCTGTGTTCCCCCCCCACTCCCCC